AAAAAAAAAAGAAAGAAAGAAAATAAATTGCATAACCCATGGCACTTCATCCCTAAATATTTCAGTGTGTGCTTCCTGAGAATAAGAATTATATTTAAAAAGAAAAATAAATAAATAAAAAGGATCTTGTTACCTAAATTTATTTCAAGACTTAAAACCATATACATTAACAGTGTCTTTCTTTATGAAGTACTTTCACAGTTTTTCCTCATCTCTTTTAATCCACAATAATTATATGAAGGTATAACATCAGAGATGTAATTATTCTACTCTACAGCCATAATTAAAATTCTTAAATTCACATGATATCAAAGTGGGCCTGTGACACGGATAATTCGAGATAATGAGTAGCTTAAAAAGTAATGCATATTTTGACTATGTAATATATCTTTTATTACCCTTGGTAATGAAATTGTTTGATATTATTGAAACATATGTCAACTGATAGTGAGAGAGAACCTCAGGACAGGCAGGGAAGAGAAAGATAATCAGCACTTAATAGAGAGTAGAATACTAGGAATACTCCACCAATTCAGCATGGGTTGGCTAAGTGTATGACTTAGGTTTAATGCCCAAATATTGACCTGATCCATCTAATAAGTTTGCTATCTTGGGTTTCCTAAGAAATTACCAGTGAGACTAGTAGAATGATTCTCTAACTTTGCAATGCCTATGATTTTGTTTTATAATTTTTAACCTATACTCCCTGTGTTTTGAATAATTTTGTCTCAAGTACATTGCATTTATCATAGAAAAATTAGTCTTAGCACTTATTCAGAAAAGGCATATTTTTATTTTTATTTATTTCATTCTTTGATGCCTTATTTTAATAAAGATTTGATAAGATTGGCATCACAATTATTGTGAAATAAAGCAAGATAATATGAATTAGAAATGTGTGAGAAAGTATTATATAGAATCTAGTATGTGGTTATTAGAGAATGGCACTCAGAGAAGTCCTGTAGATGGTCCGAAAATTTGGTTTTAAGGTTGCTCACAGCCAGTGTGAAAACGGAAACCTGAACCAAATTTGTGTGTGGATGTGGCCACAATTGGTGCTTTTGATCAGCATGAATTAATCAATATTACCAACATGAGTTGATATAATTCTAACAAGAAGCAAAGAAACATCATCGTTTGGTTACTTTTTTTTTGCAAATTTATCATAGATAAATAATGGTGTGCATGAAACTTTGAAATAAAAATAGTTAATGGATACTTCTTGCTCCTACCCCTCATTGAATTTCTAACTGTCTAGATCTGAACTTGGAATCCAATGGCCTAGTACTTACTGTGAATCTTTTCCATCAGATAAAATGTTTCATTTCATTTGTTATAGCTAATAAATGATTTATTGGCTATTGCATGCACTCATTCATTGGTCATGTATTGAAGACTTGACCACTTGCAGAAATACTGCAAACACACTGTATTTTGGAGAAAGATCTTTAAAAGCCATCCCACAAAATGTTCTCAGCATTCATTCCTGAACAACAGGTATGAGATTTAAGGAGGATCTTTGAGTCATATAGTTAAACAGACTGTAGTTGAGTTCATTCAGCAAATACTGATGGAGAACCAACCAAGGTCCTATGCTGGTGGTGGGTAAACAAGGGTGAGTGTGTTAAGTTCCATGTTTCCTAAGAGCTTGGAGTCATTTCACTAAGTGCGGTGTTTCCATGAGGAAGTCTGTTCTAATAGAAATTACCTTTTTATCCCAGGTTGGTACAATAGACTTTTCATCAACTTTGTACTAAGGAGGCATATTTTCTTCTTTGTGCTGCAAACCTATTTCCCAGCTATGTTGATGGTAATACTGTCATGGGTTTCATTTTGGATTGACCGAAGAACTGTTCCTGCAAGAGTTTCGCTAGGTAAGTCTTTCCACACCTTTGTGAAATGTTAATATGGGAGGGAAGTTGAGGAAGGTAAATAAAAAGGGTTGATAAGTGGAGAGGAAAAGAGAATGATGGTTTAGTAGGGGTAATTAGAGATGTGCACTCATGTTATAGTGTTTAACTTCACAGCCTCAAGGGCACATAATAAATGGACCCTGTCCTTGGGAACCCAGGCAGTAGGTATGAAGGCTGCGCCAACTGACCAACTGCTGGGTGATAGTAAAGAAAGAGGGTGAAATTATGAAGCAAAAAGAACCTCACTTTACAAGTCTATCACTTCTCCCTTTCAGGGAAACCTCCCTATCCCTTGCCTGAGTCCATTTCACTTTGTTTGACAAACCCTTACATCATAGAAGAAAGAACCTTCAAACTAGTTCACACTATACTTTTGGTGTATTAATAAATTACTTCTTGGGGAGGGGAGAGGTTGAATTTGGAAACATGAATGCTAGTCAGAAATCACGGCTTAACCTAACTGCCAAAGTCAGAATGAACCAGAGTGGAATCTTAGGTATTGTGGCACTTTAGTTGGCAAGAGATTTCACGTGGAGACACATTGTCAGCCCCATTAACTCTCCACACTGGTGTCATTATCTACTCCATCTGACATGTTATATGCCACTGTCACACAGGCTGCTTTGTGGGAACCATTTCAGACCCACTTAGCTGTTACTGAGTCCTTACAAAGTGGAAGGTGCTAAGCACTTAGATGACATGTGACTTAATGAGAACCCCAGAGTCTATCCCACTTGCCTTCTTGTCTGGTTCAAGGCAGAACTCCCTCATTTTGACTGATTTTATTCTTTCACCTATAATGCTCTATCTAGAGAGAAGGTTGTTATAAGTGGTTCACAATCATTGTAATTAGCACACAATTCATCCCAGAAAGGGTGATTTCTAAGTTAATGTTCACAAATTATATGCATACTTCAAAAGATCATTTGAAAGACATAAATTGTCATTAATATTAATAATTTGTTCACCTCTTTCCCCTTTTGAAAGCTTCAACCTATAAGCATTTAAGGCTTGAATATCTTCAAGGGGAAAAAAAAAACACCATCTGAATGAATAATTCAATTATTGTGGCTATTACTCCACATCAGAGCCCCAGATCCCTGACCTAAGCACGGCAGTCGGGCAGCACAGACCCGAACAGAAGGCTTAAGACTCATTTCTGGCTCTTGAGACAAGATGAGAAAGGCATTCCATCTCTACCTATTTATGAACATGATTTTCAATCAGATCTCTGAATCTGACTGCTTAGCTCTTACACTTTGAAAATGACAGCAATAAAAGATGGTTCCAGGCAAGATTGGGGAGAATGGACAACACTGAAATACATTTAAGTTGCCCCTGAAATTCTGTGTTTCTTGCATCTACATCTTATCCAGGGTTAGGAAATTCCTATGCAGATTCGTGTAAAATAATATACAAATCAGAAGTATCCACCAACCCTCTATCCCCTCTTTTTAATAATGAGAACTGCAATATTCCAACACTGCTATCCTCTCAGGCTTTTGCTTCCTACCACCCTCAAGTTTTTTCCAAGATATTTTGCCTTCTGCTTTATTCACTCTTCCCGAATGCTGTGCTACCCAATTCTATGGCAGGTTCCTAGGACTGTCTGTCTATTCCACTTGCCTTTTCTCAGATGTTGCTCTTCTTCACTTTCTCTGAAGCATTTCACATGATTAAGCATAACTCTCCAAATTCAGAACAAAGTGTAGCAGCAAGAGTCCAGTTTTGTCTTCCTCATCTGCAAAATGAGACTGTTAATAGTACCTTGTAAAGGTCACTGTGAGAATTAAATGGGAGTGTTCATGTCAACTGCCTAGGCTGATGCCTGGCCCATAGTCTTTGATAAAACCAACCAAACCAACAAACAATAAATTTGTCTTATTATTCTGCACTAGTCTACTTTTTCTCCTTCTTCAGGCCTTTCTTTCATTTCTCTTTCCCACTCTTTACTTCTTCCTTCCATTCTTTAAGCATAGGTAATTTCGTCTCCAAGTTTTGTTCATTTTTGATTCTCTCATCAAATGGAACAAGCCTCTTACTTCCAACTATTGCCCTTATGAGAATAAACCCCAAATCTATGTCTTTATCTCAAATCTTTCTCTCAAGTTTCAGATAGGTATTTCCAGCGGCCTGCTGAACTTCATTTTCAGGTCTACAGGCACTCAGCACATTTGAAACTGAACGAATTACTCTTGCCCCCATGCCCAAATAGCATTTATTTTCTTGACTTGCCTCGTTCTATTAAGGGCCCCCAATTCATTGAGTCTTTCATATTTGCACCTTCAATTTCCTTCTTAGACTTTGGCAGCTGTTCTCAAATTCTGGTTTTAGGACCCATTTATACTTTAAAAATTACTAAGGACCCCAAAGAGCTTTTGTTTTGTGGGTTATATCTATTATTATTAAAACAGAATTTTTGAAAATATGTATTAATCCCTTTAAAAATAGCAATGCAAAATTTATTACAAGTTTACTTATATGAAAAACAATTGTTTTTTTCTAAAACAAAAAAAAATTTAGTGAGAAGAGTGGCATTGTTTTTCATTTTTGCAAACCTTTAAAGTCTGGCTTATGGAGGGCAGCTGGCTTCTCACCTGTGCTTCTTCATTCAATCTGTTGTAATAGGTTTTAGTTGAAATATAGGAAGAAGTCTGGCCTCACTCAGAGATGCAGTTGGAGAAAAGAATCATATTTTATAGCGTTTTCAGATAATTGTGCATAGTCTTCCTTGACATTGCATCAAAACTCAGCAAGTGACAGTTTCTTCAAGGTTAGTTGCAATGTGGAATCTGAAACCATATCAATAAACTTTGTCTAACCTATTACATTAAAATCCATTGATCTACAGAGGGTGCCAAAAATGTATATACATTTTAAAAAAGGAAAAAACTGTACTAATATATACCGATAACAAAAGATGAATACAAGTCTTGTTTGACTTCTGCAATTACTAGAAGTGCTCAAAGTGGTTATCTACCGTGCCCAGACACTTCTGATTATGGCAAACTACTGCTTGAGCAACGTTGACCAAAGTGTTAACATCTCTTAAAACGTGTATACATTTTTTTTGGCACCCACGGTATTTTGCACTTTGACTAAATCTTTTTACCCGTGCATTTGTCATTTGGAAAATACTGGTGTACTGAGTTATACAGATCTTCCCAATTTTGACAGAATTCATTATACAATATCAAAAAATCTCATTCGTTAATATCACCACTAATCTCATCAAAAAGTTTTTGAGTGGTGGGAAGCTTTTAAGCTCATGGTGAAGGATACAAGTTTAACATCATTCTAGTTTGGTCTTAGAAGCTCAAATTTTATCATTTGGCCACAAATACCATGAGTTGTTTTACTTTAAGTGATAGGTTTACTTGACTCAATTTGAGGAAATGTCTGCTGGTTACNATCAGCTTCAAGTCAAGTAGTTGTTTCAATCTAGTTGTGGAGGGTGCAACTCAGTGGTCCATGAGGGGATCGAACTGACAACCTTAGTGTTATGAGCACTGCTCTCTAACCAACTAAGCTAGCTGGCCGCCCCAATAAAAATGTTTTAATAAATCTTCACAATACTCTACAACTCCGTGAGGTCTTATTCGGGGTTGGTTATGTCTGTGATGTGGTATTACTCAAATGAAGACTCTGCACTTGTACCACACAAGGCTGGCTCGAAAGCATAAGCTCTCATGACAAGTCTGGATTTCATCAGTGGTCCAGATCTCAGTAAACCTCAGCAATTGCAGGAAGGAAAAAAAAGAAAATCCTAAGGAAGAGAAAATACCTCTATGGTACTGTACTGTGCTTACGATACTGTAAGTTTGCATCGTCTGTTTGCAAGATGAAAAAAACCTGCATATAAATGGACCTCTACAAGTCAAGTCTGTGTTGTTCAAAGACCAACTGTAGTTACGGAACTTGAGCTTCCATTAGACAGCTGAGCCACCAGGCCCTCACTTATTTCCCTTGGCTCTGCCTTCACCATTACCGGGCCATATTAATAAGCAGGAGACCGCTTCTGCCCCCCTCCTCCCATCCAATGCCTCTCAAAATCACGCACTTCAGGTTTGCAATGGAAAAAGAAATGGCTCCTGCCCCCACAGGATACATGAACAAGTATTCTTTAATAATTCTTTATGCTTTAAGTAAGCATAATGTAGCGGCTAAATGTACAAGTTCTGAAGAGAGATTACATGAGTTCAAATCCCGATTCTGGAAATGTGACCTTATTAGAAAGTTTACTTATTAGAAATGTGACCTTGGACTGGTTACTTGATCTAAGACTCAATTTTCTTATCTTTACATTGGTTTCATAATACTCTGTACCTCATTGGGTTTAATACATTTAAATAATATAGAATACTGTCTGCCATAAATAACTTAGAATACGGTGTGCCATATGATAAGCGCTCAATAAATAACAGCTAGTTGATAAGTGCTCAATAAATGTTAGCTAGTAGCTATCATCGTCATCACCACTTTAACCAGCATCATCATCTTGATTCTTTCAACATAGAAAGAGGCTTTACCATTAATAGGTCACTGAAGGTGACAGTCTTCAGGTGTAAAAACCTCCTTGAACCTTGTCTTGGGGCTAACACCCCACATATGGCCCCTTCTTCAATTTTCCTGGCTGACAATTCTCCAGCGCTTTTCTTTCTTTCATTAACTCCCTTTTGTTTTACCATGTGGCAACCTGACGGAGGCAGATGGACCCTTCCACCAAGATTTGGTTCAGATGTCAAAAGTGATGATGCCACGCACATAGCAAAAGGGTATAAAGAGATTTATCACTTACAGAATGAGGTTTTCTAGAAGGAGCAGGGCAGCCTCTCAGGCAGGTCTGAAAATGGCTTGAGAAAACAGGGAAGGACGACTGGCTTAGTTAGAGGGCAGGACTAGGGTGAGGGTACCCTTGCACAGGGCAGGGCTTGCGTAGTTTAATCTTGGGTGCCAAAAGA